CGTGGCTCGCGGCGGGCACCTCCTCGGCGGACTCGGTGGGGCTGCCTCGCTCCACCGGGGCGATCTCCACCTCCTTGCCTCGACCCTCGTCACTTTTGAAGTGGTTGTAGCGGAACCGGAACTGAGTGGCCACGATCAAGGCCATGGTCATGAGGACCCCGAAGACGATGAAGACGATCTGGTAGTTGCGGTACTCGGGGGGCCGGCACCCCTTCCCGTGGACGAGCACCTCGATGTGGGTGTAGTCGATCCCGATGCCCACGGACAGCATGGCCAGGCCCCAGCCCAGGGAGCCCCACATGCGCTGCAGCCCATAGCGGTCCCTGTGTTTGCCCAGGTACTGGAGCGTCACCGTGTCCACAATGGTGACAGAGGAGGCACTGAAGAACTCCCCGATGATGACGACCACCAGGATCACCAGGAAGATGGCTTCCACTTCTTGCTGGTCGTAAAGCAGAGTGACCTGGTCAGAAGGTAAAGACCTGGTGGTAGTGACGATGGTAGTGGTGGGCTCTCTGGTGACAATCCCCGGGGGGGCAGGGGCTGCCGTGCTTGGGATCAAGGTCAGGTCCTTGCTGAGGTCTGTCACGTCCTCAGTCTGCGGCGGCAGCGTGCGCGCGCTGGTCCTGTCGACGGCTGTTGGGAAGGTGAGAGGCTCCGTGACATTGGGTCCGGTGTCTCCCGCCACCGTGGGCGTGGGCCCACTGGCAAGGAGCAGGCCTCTCCTCTCTCGCGGCCTCGGTGGCAGTGGCGGTGTCACGGAAGAAATGAAGGAGGAATTCGCTGGCAGGAGGGTTAGCAGGTGACTCGCGTTGGCAGGGCGGGCCGTTGGGGGAGTCTTTGGTACACACCTCAAAGTCGCGGGTTTGACGAAGCCGATGCCCAGATTGAATAAAACCCAGCACAGAAGAGAAAAGAGGAGGACAATTTTGCCCTTCTTAAAGCGATCCGCAACCACGCCCCAAAAGGGGGCGCTGCAGAACTCAATGAAGTAGCGGATGCCCACCAGCAGCCCGCTCTGGCTGGGGGACATTCCCAGCTGCTTATAGTACACGGGCAGCAGGGGGTACAGAGAGCCGTAGGCGGCGTAGAAGAAGAAGTAGAAGACCTTGGAGATGAGCAGGTCGTTGTTGATCTTCACGCAGTGTCTCTCGATCCAGTCCACCTCCTCCTCGGGAGCGGCCTCCGTGGCTGTGGACGAGGGGGTCTCGTGAGGCGGCGGCTCCTGCTCCCTGGAAATGCCATTGAAAGGATCGGCGAGCACGTACTTCCGCTTCTGCTCCTCCTCGTCATCCGTGAGGATGGCCACTTTATCATCGGCCGCCATGGCGCGTCACCACCATCGGAAGTGCCACTTCACAGTGCTGGCTGCTGGTCTGTAGAGTAAAAGGCAAAGGATGGCTTAGTGACGACACCGATAACATGTGAGCACGAAGCTTCATCTTGCAGGACGCAGAGGCGTTTCAAACGACAGCTAAGAATAACCGTGGGAGTGAATCCTCACCGCGGGTCACCTGCCGCCACACAACACTGGCTCTGCACACCTTTCGAAACATCAAATGTTCTTTCTGGCCACTGACTGACTAATCGCATCTCCCGGTGACAGGTTGATAGCTCAGGTTCATTCGAATCTTTTCACGGATCCCTACCAAAAACGCCCAAAGGATAGGGATTAGGTCTAAACCACACAGGGAACTGAAAATAAATAGTATTTCTAGTTTCTGGGTTTTTCTGCTCAAACACAGCCACTGAACTAGGAAGTCTAGAATATTTAGGAAATCAAGGTAGCCCAGCCCATTCTGTTTCCAGAGAAAAACAGAAAGCAGCTCCTGATTCCAACCAAATGAACAAGAAACACTGGCCTGACCAGGCCTTGGTGCTGCAGCCATGAGAGGACACAGTGGTGAGGAAGCAGCTTCCGGTGGCTGATGTTACATACGTTTCTCCAGGTGTGATTTCAGGGATTGCAGTTGAAGAAAAGGAAAACCAAAGATGAATCGTGAAAGCAGAGAAACAGGAATTACGACTTACCAATAGGGGAAGACAACTCCAAACCCCAGTCTCTCACCAGAAACCACGGACGCCGACGGAAGGGGCCAATAGTGTTTAAGTGCTGGAAGAACTGCCCACCCAGAGCCCTACATTCAGAAAAAAGTCCAACAACCAGAAAACTACAGAACTGTATTCCTTATGAATATAGATTCAAAAATCCCTAGCAAAATACTAGGAAAGGAAGTTTAGAAATATATAAAAAGAACTGTACACGGTGACCAAGATGGGTCTATTCAAGGTGCAATATTGGAAAACAAATCGACGTAACCCACCACATCAAGATGCCAAGAAGAAGAAAATAGGGTCCCATCACCCATCTGACAAAATGAAGAAGTCATTCATGAAAAGTCTCAGAAAAACAGGAACGGAGGCGAGCGTCACCGTGGTGGAACCTGCAGAGAGCATGACACCTGATGGCTAGAGGCAGGGAGCGCTTTCTCTCTATGGGAACAAAGCAAAACTGTCTGTTCTCACCACCCTCAGGCAGCGTGGAGCTGGAAGCCGTAGCCAGCGCTATGAGGAAAGAGAAGGAAACAGGAGTCACGCAGGTCCACAGGGAGACAGAAACTGTCTTTATTGGAAATGACTGTCCAGGGAGGAAATCCCAAGAAATCTCCAAAACCTTCTAGAACCAGGAAATGAGTTCAACAAGTTCACAGGATACAAGACTAACACACACAAAAATCCACCTGTGTGTCTGTAGACCAGCAATGGCCCCCAGACACCGACCTTTAAAATATAATCCCACTTACAACTGCTAAAAGATTGAGGTTAGCAAAACCGACAGGGCTGTATGTTGAAAACTGCAAAATGCTGGTGAAAGAAACACAGGCCTAAGTCAATGGAGAGACATGTCATGTTCCATTCTCCTCAAATTTGTCTACAGGCTTAACACCATCCCTATCACAATCTCAGACTTTGTCAAAATTTAAACTTTTGCTCTGCAGACGACCCTGCTAAGAGGATGGACCTACAGGTGGGAAACTATTTGAAAGCCGCATATTCCACAAAGAATTATTACCCACAATATATAAAGCACTCTCAGAACTCGACAATAAAAAAGCCAATTAGGAAACAGACCCAAGACATGAAGAGACATTTCATCAAGAGGACACACAGGATATACAGATGAAAATGTTCAGCATCATTAAGGAAATGTAAACTAAAAATATGACGTGTCGCCGCACACCTGTGCGAACGGCTAAAGTAAAAATCGTGACAACGCCAAATTCCGACACGGATGCCGAGGATCAAGCTCCCTGCTCATTGCTGGTGGGGCTGTAAAATGGGGTCGTTTCTTATAAATCTAAGCCCGTGGCTACCACAGGACCCAGCAATATTTATCCCAGAGAAAGGGTCACTTACTTCATATAAAAACACACACGTTTATAGCACCTGTATTCCTAACATAGCCCCAAAATGGAAACAGCCCAGGTGTCCTCCCACGGATGAATGGTTAAACAAACTGTGGTGCAGCCACCATGGAATATTCCGCAGCAATAGAAAGGAACCAACGATTGCCCCATACAATGACCCGAATGAATCTCAGAAGAATCATGGACAAAGTCTCAAAGCATCACGTACGGCCTGGTCCCATTCACATAGCATTTTGGGGTGGCACAGTGACCGGACTGGAGAGAAGACCAGTGATCGCAGGGAGTGGAGGGACACCGTCATCGTTTCCCTCGGGGAGGGCCTGCCCAGCACAGGGCCTGACAGACACTAAAAACGTGTGGGCACCATTTCTTTGTGGCCCAATGGAAGCCACTGATGAGAATTAAACAGCAAAGCGTTAAGGGTCACGTTTGTGTTTCACAAAGATCATTCTGACTTCAGTGTGGGGACGGATGGGCAGGTTTAGCGGCTGCACCCCCTAAGGCAGTGGTATATGCAGCGCTGGGCAGGGGAGGGGGGTACATTGTTTTGTGAAACCTTCCCTGAGGTCGACCCCTTCCAACTCTCCCATCCACACTCATCTATCTGAAATGTACCTACCTATATAGTTTAAGTTTAAAAAATTTGGCGCTCAAAAGAAATTTCAATCATTGTACTGTTGATATTTGGCTCTGTTGACTAATGAGTTTGCCGACCACTGCCCTACGGATTCCCGGACATTTGGCTGTTTTCTTGGTGTAGAGTCTTAACACGAACTGTCCACGCTAACGTCCTGTGATAAACCCCGACAGGGCTTTGCTCATTACACAATCTTCCTGACAGCTAGAGGAGCATGGACTGCGGTGTGCTCCTGACTCCTCCCTCTCCTTCCGCAGGTGCCCTCCGCCCGAGCAGTTGTGGGACTGAAGGGAATTTATTGCTCTTTTTATAGTTACTTCCTGTCTGCCCAACTGGATCATAGGCCCCTTCCGGGAGGATCTAGCACATAGGATACTGCTCTCTGCTCGTATAAGCTCCTGAGAAATACTGACCAGCACTGATGGCGACATGCATGTAAGGAGTCACTCAGGTTAATGTGCCCAGAGGCGAACTGACGTTCAGAAGCACAGAGAGAAGTTCCCGCTGCTCTCTTGGCTCTGACAGACCAGTGCCTCTCTGAGCCTCTTTCTCATAAAACGGGGATAAAACACAAACCCGAGGGGACGGACTCGCAGAGGGGCCGGGACTTCTCTAACGCAGGAGTTTGCTCACGGATGAACGTCTGCTGTTGGTGGTGGTCGTCGTCTTAGACTTTTTCATGAACACCCTGGGCCCCCTTCTGCAAGTGTTCTAGAGCGTTCTTCCCGCCTGTGTCCTGGGGTTCCCTGTTTCCCTGCCCGCCCCCCGAGTTTACCCAGAGATGCGCGTGGATTCACTCCACGTCCACATCCACGTCCATGTCCACATCCATGTCCACGTCCACATCTACAGTGTAGGGTCATGGACTGGAATGCGCACCTCCAGGCAGGGAATGACTATCAATCCAGAAATGACTATCAATACTATAAATACAGGGAATGACTGTTCAATACAGTCCCTGCGGGAACACTGTGTGGATTTTACTTGTAACATAATAAACGTGAATAAAAAGGGCTGAGATCCTCTCTAACGCACTTCCCTTCAACCCGCTCACGGGGCAAAAGGAGCAAGTTACTTTCATCTCTTTGACCCTGAACATGGCTCCTGTAATCAAAGCCAAGTGGCCTTCACTTTCACTTTGTGAAATTAAATGTCAATAAAAAATTTTGCAATTTTGGCCCTTAGCCCTTGGCGACCAACACAGAAATAGGTTCCTAAGTATCCGCGTGGGGCTCCTGATGAAACACTGCCGACAGCTGACACACACGCGGGAGGCAGCCCGGAACCTCACGCACTTCTCTCCCTCCGACTGATTTCCTGCCGCACAGCGAGCTCCGGCCAGCGGCCGTGGCAGCTCCCAGGGCAGCACGGAAAGAGGAGTCACAGATTCCATCTCGTGAGGTTTCTCCACAAAATCCAGGAGATGTTCTGAACAGGGAGAGGACGGACGAGCTGGCGACGCTGCCACCGGCGCTCTGCATTTATCTGTGCAGAAGGGACAGGATGGAGGGGCTTAGAGAGGCCGCGGGGCGCTGCCCAGGAGAACCGGGCCCAGTCAAAGCTCCCAGCGACGGCCAGCAGCAGACAGGGCGACGGGACTGCTCAGACACATCCCCTGTGAGTTTACCATTTACGTCAAAATACAGACCTCGGGTTTAAAACACACCTTTTCTACAGATCTGTAGCGACCACCAATTGCTTTTTCTTATGCCCCGCAAATACACTACCGCTTCAAACAATGTATAGCCTACGCACATGCCAGCATACATAACCTAACATTGTTTCCTATCATCTCAGGAACTCTAATAAACTGAGAGTTACCGTGTGCTATCAATTTGTTTCAGAAAAATATTTATTACCGAGCTCAATGGAGACAAAAGATTTCCTATAAACACCATCCCCGTGAAATGAAAGCAGCAGTGCTGGCTGGTGGGGAAGGCTCACGGGCACTCTCATTCCCTGAGAGCAGTAGCACCTTTCTAGATGGCAGAGACTTAAGTGCAAGGCTGTTTATTTCAGGAGTTTTCGTAACAACCACAACTGAAAGGAAGCAATCAGTAATAGCGGCGCCTAAATTACACTCGACCCACATGAGAGAACCTTAACGCATGGGACAGAAAAACCGAGCTGAGTGAATAGAACTTGGGAGCTTAAACGAACTGACAGAATAGGGGGAAGTCCTCATGCTCTAGGTACCCCATTAAGTGAAACAAAGCAGGGCACAGACTTCTATGCTATGTAAGAGTTTACGTGTGTAAATCTATGTCCTTCGGACCAGATACACTTTTTCAAAAGACTTGAAGAAAATAACAC